GCAATGTGTGTAGAATTGCAGGAAAATAGACTTAAAACAGCAACATATTTCAGCAGCCTCATGGCAAAATTTGTAAAATAGCATGAGATTAGCTATAAAACTGCTAATGTTTCTCTCTGCCCCATGGCAATATGTGAAGATAGCTTTAAAAATACTAAATTATATCAGCCTCATTGCAAAGTGTGTAGAATAGCATGAGATTAGCTATAAAACTGCACATTTTTCTCTATGCCCCACGGAAATATGTGTAGAATTGCAGGAAATTCCTTGTTTAAACCTTGCAGGGGGACCCCGCAAAAGTGTGTAGTGAATAAGCGCTGCTACAGTTTGTGATGGCTTCACTCCCAGTGCAAACACATGTTTATTTCATATGTCCCGCCCCTGTCGCCACAATGCTGCTCTGCTCAAACACAAATAAGATGTGATGGAACTGGGTCATAGCAGCTCTCACCCTCTCTCTCTCTCACTCTTTCTCTCTTTCTGTCTCTCTTTCTCTCTTCCTCGATCTCTCTGTTTTCTCCCTTCCCCTCTACCATGGCATCTATCTTCCCCCTTCCACTCTCTCTCTCTTCCTATTTCTCTACCTCTCCTTCACTCTGCCCCTCTGTCCTCAATCTCCCACTCTATCTTCCTTTCCCCTCATTGCCCAGCCTGTCTGACTGCATTAGCTGAACACCGTCACAAGGGTGAGTATCCACTGGTCACAGACTACTACACACAAGATGCTATTGAATCCGGGCTACAGAGCGAGAGGAGAGAGAGATAGCTATAGAGAGAAGAGTGAGTATGAGAGAGATATAAGATGAGAGAGAGAGATAGAGATCGAGATAGATAGAGAGAGAGATAGTGTCGGGGTCGATAATAAAATAAATTCGTTATATATCGCTATCGAACTCTCTCTCCTCCTTTCTCTCTCTCCTCTCGTCTCTCTCTCTCTCTCTTCCTCCTTCTCTTTTTCTCTCTCCCCTCTCCCCTCTCCCCTCTCTTTCTCTTCTCTCTCTCTCTCTCTCTCCTCTCTCTCTCTCTCCTCTCTCTCTCTCCCCTTCTCTCTCTCTCTTCTCTCATCTCCTCTTTCCCCTTTGGGGTCCCGTTTTCCCTACCTTGGAGGAAAAGGGAAAGGGGAGGTGGGGTTGGGGAGGTGTGCTCTCTCTTCTCTCCTTCCTCAAATCATTTTTCTTGGATCGATAGACCAGCGTCTGGCGGTGTGTCTTCTATGTCTCTGGTGGGCG